AAATTGCCAAGCAGCTTGGTGAAAAAAGGTCCACTGTTGGAGCAATCATTAGAAAATGGAAGAAGCTAAACATGACTGCCAATCTCCCTCGGACTGGGGCTCCATGCAAGATCTCACCTCGTGGGGTCTCAGTGATCCTAAGGAAGGTGAGGAATCAACCCAGAACTACACGGGAGGAGCTGGTCAATGACCTGAAAAGAGCTGGGACCACCGTTTCCAAGGTTACTGTTGGTAATACACCAAGACGTCATGGTTTGAAAACATGCATGGCACGGAAGGTTCCCCTGCTTAAACCAGCACACGTCAAGGCCCGTCTTAAGTTTGCCAATGACCATTTGGATGATCCAGAGGAGTCATGTGGTCAGATGAGACCAAAATAGAACTTTTTGGTCATAATTCCACTAACCGTGTTTGGAGGAAGAAGAATGACGAGTACCATCCCAAGAACACCATCCCTACTGTGAAGCACGGCGGTGGTAGCATCATGTTTTGGGGGTGTTTTGGGACAGGGCGACTGCACTGTATTAAAGTTTCAGGTTGCTCATAATATTATAATATTTTGTAAAAGAAAGAATTCATCAATTAAAAAAGATTTCTATAATAGATTTGTGTTTCTCTGCACAAATATTTAAACTTATTGTTATTTTTGGGGTTTATATGTCATGAGTTTTCTGATCCGGCCCCTTTGAGATCAAAGTAGGTTGGATACGGCCCCCGGACTAAAAATGAGTTTGACACCCCTGACATAAACCCAGTGTATTGGTCTATGGAACTCAAAACAACTATATATAACAACACAAATAACACAAACCCCCACTACCACCACAAACATAATTTTGGTCAGTACCTGCTCCTCCACAGAGAAAGCAGCTCTCAGTTTGACACATGTAATTTTTGAGCAAGTTTTACCAGTTTTGCAGTTTGTTTTGGTCCGTCAAGGGCAGGGGTTTGAAAAAGTGAGCAGAGTTTCTCTAAAAGAACAATAAACTGAGAAATCTTTTTAATTAAAAGAGTTTCTCAGCAGGTCGACAGGTAAATATGCAGAGTTTGTGTGTTAAAAATGTGTGAATGAAACAAAACACAACTCCAGGTCTGTTTGTGATGAGGAGACAACATTATAAGATAGGAGAAGGTTTTTTAAAATCACAAATTTTGAATGCAATTTCATTTTCAACACAAAATAAGAACCGTCCATTTGATATTGTAGGAGAGCTTTCTAAAACTACTCTGAAAAGATCTATACTTTGTCATTTTTCACTACTTCAAAAAGAATATTTGGATTTGTGACTAGTTTCAGTATCGATAACGACCTGAGTGTTATTTTTGACCAGATTTCTGTATTTTTCTGTAGCAAAATATCAACTAAAATTTATGAGAAAGCGTGTTATTAAATAAATCATAAATCCTATTTTTCGCCTCTCTGTGTCTCCTCCTCTCCTCCTCTGGCCCTCTCTCTGTCTTTTTTCTCTTCTTTCTATCTGTCCTCCCTCTCTCTTTCCGCCTCTCCTGTCCTCTTTCTCTGTCTCTTTCTCTCTCTCCTCCTCCTCTCCCCCTCCATCTCTCTCTGTCTTTTTTCTCCTCTTTCTCTCTCTATCTAACTCCCTTCTCTTTCTCCCTCTCCTCTTTGTCACTCTTTCTACCTCTTCCCTCTCTTTCCTCCTCTCCTCTCTCCTGTCCCCTCTTTCTCTCTCTTGCTCTCTCTCATCTTCTGGACCTCTCTCTGCCCCTCTTGCTATCTTTTTTCTCCTCTCTCTCTCTCTCTCTCTCCTCCCTCTGTCTTTCCTCCTCTCCTCTCTCCTTTCCCCTCTCTCTATCTCTTTCTCTCTCTCATCCTCCTCTACCCCATTTCTCTTTTTTCTCCATTCTCTCTCTCTCTCTTTAACTCCCTTCTCTTTCTCTTTCTCCTTCATCTCTCACTCTTTCTACCTCTTCCCTCTCTTCCCTGCCACCCCCTCTCTTTCTCTCTTCCCCTTCCTCTCTTTTTCTTTCCCTTTCACTCTATCTCTCTATTCTGTCTCTCTCTTCTCCCCTCTCTTTCCTCCTCTCCTCTCTCGTCTCTCTATATCTTTTTTCTCCTCTTTCCCTCTCTATCTCTCTAACTCTCCTCTCTTTCTCCCTCATCTCTTTGTCACTCTTTCTCCCCCTTCCTTCTCTCTCTCCCTTCTCCCCCTCTCTATCTCTTCCTCTCTCTATCTCTAACCCTCCTCTCTTTTTCCGTCATCTCTTTGTCACTCTTTCTCCCCCTTCCTTCTCTCTCTCCCTTCTCCCCCTCTCTATCTCTTCCTCTCTCTATCTCTAACCCTCCTCTCTTTCTCCCTCATCTCTTTGTCACTCTTTCTCCCCCTTTCCTTCTCTCTCTCCCTTCTCCCCCTCTCTATCTCTTCCTCTCTCTATCTCTAACCCTCCTCTCTTTCTCCCTCATCTCTTTGTCACTCTTTCTCCCCCTTTCCTTCTCTCTCTCCCTTCTCCCCCTCTCTATCTCTTCCTCTCTACTCTCTTCTCCCCTCTCTTTCTACCCCCCATCCTCCCTCCTTCTAATTCTCTCCCTCTCTCTCTTCTCCTTCCTCTTGCTTTCTCTCCATTTTGCTCTATCTCTCTATCTCCCTCTCTTTTCTCTTCAACCCCGACACCCCTCCCTCCCTCCCTCTCTCCTCCTCCTCTCTGGTGGTGTTGTTAGGGAGACTCCGCTCACATGTTGGTAAAAACATCGTGCACAGATGATGGACAGAGCTGATCCGTAAAAAATCCAGTTTGTTCAGTAATTATCTCGACAAGGGCATCTGCAGGGCGCCTTGGCACTGGAGCAGAGCCAGCGCCGCCACTTGGGCACGGCTTATAAACACGGCTACCGGGGTTCAGGCTCCCAACACCAACAAACAAACTGAGCTTTAATGTTGTGCGAGCGGCCGAGACCAAGAAGAAGTAAACAGGAAAATTAATTTGAGAAGGACGTATATCAGTGTAATATTCATGTCAGTGTGTGTCAGAGGGTCGTATATTTCTGTGGAGCTCAACAGTCTCATAGATTTTTCAAGACATTTAAATATTAATAGTTTAATTTTGTTTATGGTCTTGGTCTCGTCTCAAACTCGACTACGTTTTGATTCATTCTTGTCTCGGTCTTGAAGGCGTTTGGACTCCGTCTTGTCTCGGACTTGGTCATGTCTCGGACTCTACCGCGTTTGGAGTCGGTCTTGTCTCAGTCTTGAAAGCGCTTGGACTCGGTCTTGAAGGTGTTTGGACTCTGTCTTGTCTAGGTCATGAAGGTGCTTGGATTAGGTTTTGTCTCGTCCTTGAAGGTGTTTGGACTCGGTCTTGTGTCAGACTTGGTCATGTCTCGTATTCAACCACGTTTGGAGTCGGTCTCGTCTCAGTCTTGAAGGCGCTTGGACTAGGTCTTGTCTTGGTCTTGAAGGTGCTTGGACTCGGTCTTGTCTCGGTCTTGAAGGTGCTTGGACTAGGTCTTGTCTCGGTCTTGAAGGTGCTTGGACTTGGCTCTTGTCTCGGGTCTTGAAGGCGCTTGGACTCAGTCTTGTCTCGGTCTTGAAGGCGCTTGGACTCAGTCTTGTCTCGGTCTTGAAGGCGCTTGGACTCGGTCTTGTCTCGGTCTTGAAGGCGCTTGGACTCGGTCTTGTCTCAGTCTTGAAGGTGCTTGGACTCGGTCTTGTCTCGGTCTTGAAGATGCTTGGAACTCGGTCTTGTCTCGGTCTCGAAAGCGCCTGGACTCGATTGTCTCGGTCTTGAAGGCGTTTGGACTCGCTCTTGTCTTGGTCTTGCAGGTGCTTGAACTCGGTCTTGTCTCTGTCTTGAAGGTGCTTGGACTTGGTATTGTCTCAGCCTTGAAGGGGCTTGAACTCAGTCTTGTCTCTGTCTTGAAGGTGCTTGGACCCAGTCTTACCTCAGCCTTGAAGGCGCTTGGACTCGGTTTTCTCTTGGTCTTGAAGGCACTTGGACTTGGACTTGGCTCGGTCTTGAAGGCACTTGGACTCAGTCTTGTCTCGGTCTTGAAGGCACTTGGACTCGGTCTTGTCTCGGTCTTGAAGGCACTTGGACTCGGTCTTGTCTCGGTCTTGAAGGCACTTGGACTCGGTCTTGTCTCGAAGTTGACGTCTGACATTTTACGAGTGCGATCATATTTCATTAGAGCCGCTGCTGTCGGCAATAAACCTCTTACTGTGACATGTGGTTGAAGTCTGTCTAATAAAAGTGCACAAATGCATCTGTATTTGTCACGACGTGCGTTTGGTAAATGTGCAGAGGCTAAATCCACTGCAAAACCAGTAAGAAAATGTAACTCCAGTAAGGAATTTGACAAATTTTTTTTTAAAAAATACTACCCACTTTCTTCACTTCACAGTTTTCTGTAAAATGCCAGTGGAAGTTTTCTTAAAGAAGGGTCCTCAAACTGTGGGTCAGGGTCCAAAAAAGAGACGCAGATTATTTATGTGCAGTACAGTTTGCTTGGCTTATTTTAGGTCTAAATGAACATTAATAATATAATAATAAAAACATTGATATATATGTACCAAAAATAACTGTAAAATACAAATAAATGTAGAAAATGACAAAGACGGTCTTGATTTTAGTCTCAAGGGGCCGTGGTCTTGTCTTGTCTCAACATTTAAAAGTCTTGGTCTTGTCTCAGTCTCGACCTTCAGAGGTCTCGGTCTTGTCCTGGTCTTGGGATGGTCTTGGTCTTGATTAGTGTGGTGTTGACTACAACACTAGTTTAAAAGCACAGTAACTTTCTGGTATATATGTCATGATGTAGTAAGATGTATTTTCATATTTTAAGTAGAAAAAGTCTTGTTCAACTGGCAGATAATTTTACTTGTCAAGTGAAATTTACTCAAATCATGATAAAACTTTTTAAATTCAAGTCATCTTAACTTGACTAGATTTAGTTTTTTGCAGTGCCGGCCTCGGATAACAAATACATTCACAAATTAATCTTGTAAAAACCCAGAAGGTGAAAGAACGATTGTATTTCATAATCAAAATCATACTTTTTGTGCAAAATTCATTTTATTTTTAATTATTTTTTACCTTTAGCTTTTATTTGACAAAATGACAATTCAGAGACAAAATGAAGACATTGTACAAAAGAAAGAAAAGATCTGCATTTACATTTAAATGAAATGAATTGTATTATATTCATTTTCTGTATCATCATAATTGACAAGAAAACAGAACAAGAACTATTCACTTTTTACAAACATGTTTTCATCGACACAAAGTTGAAACAACAACATTTGAAATCGCCGTACACAGTTCAAAATGGTGCTTTACACATTTGTACATTCAGTCGGCTTCATAATTTGGATTTAGCTGGTTCTGAAAGGTAATCAAACAACATTTTATCAACACAATCAGTGATGACGAGACCCTAAAAAGTCTCACACACCAAGGACAACAAGGGAACACAATGTCGAAGCGCAGTCTCCTGTAGAAAGTGACTACACACAAAGCCATAGACAAAGAGTGCTGGTATTATGAAGAACTGTGAGAATCAATGGAGCTGGAATAGTTCAGTCAAGGCAAAGCATCCCTCCATAAAAGATCTGAAGAACAATGGCTACACAAATCGTTTTACCGTTTGAAATGCAGCTTGAAATGTCTTCTTTACATTTGTTGAAACAGAGCAGGAATTATCTATCTGTCCATATTTGTGTCTAAATTTAAAGGTGTATTGCTAAATGTTTCGGATGGAGGATCTTGCAGATGTTATTGCTTTGCCAGGAATGTACCACAGTGTGACATTAAACGCATCCAACTAGCATTTATTTGTTTATTCATTACGGGTGTTTCTATCAGAGGTGGGACCGAGTCGTTGTTTTGCAAGTCTCAAGTCAGTCTCAAGTCTTTGACCTCAAGTCCGAGTCAAGTCCCAGGTCAAACGCAGGCAAGTCTAAGTCGAGTCTCGAGTCACTGGCCCATAAGATCCAGTCAAGTCCGAGTCGTCTGCTTTGAGCTTCAAGTCATTTCAAGTCTTTAAACCAAAATACCACATATACTGTAGCTTAGATTTTTGCACTTTATATGAATTTTAAACTAAATTGTGCTCAGAAAATCAAGGTATATTTATATATGAATATTTATATAAGAGTTGTAGAAATGCAAATTTTTCCTTGATAAGATCTTAGTGTGAATCATTATGGCCAGAATATTAAGAATTAAGATTTAAAAGTGCTTAGTAACAGTTATTGTATCAGGTAGTCTGCACTAAAATAGAAGGATCATGTTCTTTGTAGTTCTTTGTTTTACTGTATTGTCCTGTATGTCACTGTACATTACTGTACTGTACTGTGTTGTTCTGTATATTACTGTAGTACATTTGATGACACCGTATCACAGTACTTCAGTTACATCCAAAGTACCAAACAGAATCAGGAGGGACATGTTCCAGTTTGTTCCCGTAAAATTAAGCACCGCATTAATCAACTGTAAAGAAAAAAGTATTTTCTAAAAACATATTATTTTAGGAGAAGCATCAAGTCTTCTCAAGTCACAGGCCTCAAGTCTGAGTCAAGTCCCAAGTCTTACTCCATTTTATCAAGTCAAGTCTCAAGTCCTAAAAATAGTGCCTCAAGTCTGACTTGAGTCTTAGTCACGACTTGCAAGTCCCCATCTCTGGTTTCTGTTGCTCAAAAATACAATAATAACTTCTGCGACTCTCCACAGATCTGAACTGTAATGTAGTGTAGTGCTGTAACCTGCTTGTCTCCCTCATGAAAGACAGTTTTAATCTAAACTGTGAAACGTTCTAGACAAAGCAATAACATTTCCATGGAGACATCAGGTGTTGGACCCTCTACTAGAAATGTTACACAGTGCACCTTTAACAAGTGATTTATGTATCTCATTTCCTTTATGTTTTAGAAAGAATTGTGCTTTTAGTTGAACAATATGTTGTTTAAATGTTTGCCTGGCCAGCCAGACCTTTACTCTTCAGCAAATCAGAGTTGTGAAAATGTCCTTATTCAGTCAAAAATCATTGTACTAACTCATCGTGGTGGAACATAAAGAAGTAAAATGAATAAAGTACTATACTTAAGTCAATATTTTAGATACCTATACTTTACTTGAGCACATTTTAAAGTGAAAACTACACTACTACTTAACTACATTACTTCCTTTGCTTTGCTTGATTGTTTTGCTTCATTCAGGCTTCGTTTAACTAATCCTGATCATGAGGGTTTCCTTCACTGAACACTCACAGAAATCACTCTGCTGCAGTGTTGTTATTACGTAATAGATCGGGAAGCCTTGAGTGCCATTTTTACTTACAAAATAAAATGTTAGTAATAGCATTATATTCATGTTGCTAAATGGCTGCTCAAAGGCTTTTAAATTTTTTTTCATGGCTCTAAAGCAAATCGAATTATTAGGAAATTCAGCGTGTTTTCCTGACACATTATCTGAAGTTTCTATTAAATAAAGACGTTACAAAAAGCACGATTAAAAAGTCGAAATGATGCATGATATGTTCATTTCAAAGGTCCAATATTACACAAAATTCACTCTTTACTCAACAAAAACAGACCTGGAGTTGTGTTTTTGTTGTTTCATTCGCACATTTGAGTAATCCTGCTTTATTAATCTACAAATTAACACCTTTACCTTTAGTGCGATTGGCAATTCCAGGCATGAAATTATCCAAATGATTCTAATGAAGGTGTATGGAGTTTAAAAACACAGTGGAGCGCTTTCTGTATTACCACACGTTGGAGTATTTTCTGTTGGGGAGAAGAACTCAGCCTAAATATTGCAGGATTCGTGTGTGAAACATGTGTGAATGAAACAAAACACAACTCCAGGTCTGTTTTTGATGAGGAAACATTATAAAAAAGCATAATATGAATCCTTAAAGCATAATTTACCCAGTGTGCTCGTAGCAAAGCTGTGCAGCCATGGGGCATATCGACCACAGAACAGGAAGTGGTGAGCAATTAGCAAACCTGACCCAGGTCGACCCGTAAAATGAACAACGTCTGCCACTGTGCTTGTTATGTGATGCCGCTTTGTGAAATAGCGTCTACATTACACTGGAACCTGATAGAAATGAAAGAAGGTGAGGATGTAAAGGTAGACATGAGAAAGCTGTTTATAATTAATTGAGGCTTGATTAATTTAATCTACTTTCATTCTGAGCTGTCTCCAGGAAATAGATCTATTCTAAACAGCAGCATCTTTCATTGACTGGCCAAGTTATTCTTATATATATATTATTATTTATATGTATTATCCCAGACAGTATACACAGCAAAAAGTGGAGTGGTAAAATTAACTCTCACAGAATCTATCTTAACATTTTCTCAGGGTTTATATGAGTCCAATCTCTTCTAGAGTTCATTTAACATTTTTGGAAATATTAATTAGGTAACACTGGACCAAAGCTGTTGTTTAACCCCAAAATTAAGAGTTATATTAACGTTTTGAGAGTAAACAAATAACACTGTGTAGGGTTATTCTGATTTAGCCAAACATCACACAGATGAGTTTTATTTTTACGCTTTATTTTAGTAAATTTAAGATGAAATTGTGCATTCTCTCGCAGGAGTTTGAAGTGGTGGGTGGGAGGAGCCAAATTAACACTAAGGGAAGTTGAAATAGCACAAAGAGAAGTTAAATTAACACTAGGGGAAGCTGAATTAACAGAGAAGTTGAATTTACACTAAGAGAAGTTGAATTAACACTAAGGGAAGTTGAATTAACACTAAGAGAAGTTGAATTAACACTAAGGGAAGTTGAATTAACACTAGAGGAAGTTGAATTAATGTCAACCATATCAACTCTGGCAAATAACCCCAACTCAAACCCCCATTTAACTTTCAAATAGTTAAAATAACACTTTTTATGTTAAAAACAATTCTATATTAAGTAGTAGCAGTAGTATTTTACCCTGAAATTTTATCCCTCTAATTTTTGCTATGTATAAAAACGGACATTGCTCACACGCTAGCCAAATCCAAATAGGAAGTGAGCATGGGGGCGCTTCCTGCTCCATCGACTCTGGCTCCAGTTGACTTCACATTGAAAAACTTGTCGTCCCTCTCTCTGTAACTGCTGCTGTGAGCTTCATCATTTTGGTTTTAAAATATTCGTATTCACTCACTTTATATGATCCTGGTGTTTTTATTTTGCTATTTCCTATTCCTAATCTGGACCTGACTCCAAATCCGCTCCTATAACCACAGCCTCGATGAGCTTCATTTGACTGGAGCCGAACGCTTAGTCCACGTTTTTATACAGTCTATGGTATTTATAGCTTTTTTTTTTTATTTCAATACACAGTAGATCGTCTTATGCTATACAAATAAAGGGACAGAGCCGGACGGGGTAAAGGTTTAGGTCCATGTTGTGTTCAAGTTCATAAAGTTTGTAAAATTTCACTGTGTTATGTCGACTGCTACCAGACTTCGTGCGTATCTGGCCGAGCGAAGTTTCAGTTCGTGGTAGCACTGTACAAAACTGTGGTAGATAAAAGTTATGGGCAACGCCAGCAGGACAATCCCGCTAACGACGCAAAACCCGCCCAGCACCCGTCCTGCGACCGTGACCGGGTACACGTCGCCGTACCCGACCGTCGTCATGGAGATGATCACCCACCACGCCGCTGCCGGGATGCTGGCGTAATCGTTGTTGGGCGACTCCGTGTCCAAGCCGTGCTCGAGCAACTGGGCTAGAGCGCTGTATATCGCCATGGCAACGAACACGAAAACCATGAGCATGACCATTTCCCTGTAGCACCGGCGCAGCGTCAGCCCGAGAGTCTGCAGACCCAGGAAGTGCCGCGCCAGCTTCATGAGCCAGAAAACCCGCATCATTCGTAAAACTCGTAAGATGATCCCCGCCACTCCGAGTCCGGCTCCAGGCATCCCCGCTCCGGCCAGCGCCATGGTAACGTAGTAAGGGGTAATAGCGATGACGTCAATGATGTTTAAAGGACGGCGAAGGAAATCCCATTTGTTCCGGGCGACCAGAAACCGCACAATGCACTCGGCGGTGAACCAGCCAATGCAAACGGCCTCCACGATCCTAAAGAGAAGGAAAGAGAGAGAAGAGAGGGATGAGTCAGGAGGGATGTGGACAGGAAGTGGCTGCAGATATAGAGAGCAATTATGTAAATATTAAGGGTAAAACCAGCATAGGGACCGAGGGAATGTAAATTATTTGTGGTACTAAGGACACGCAAGATATAAGCTGTCTAAACAATGATTCAAAGCTGCTCTATGCAACTTTTCTGGTGGAGAGTCCGCTGTCTTCCATTTGTCTGATTACAGGTTTTTATTGTTTAAAAATACCTTGGAAAACATGTATTCTAACTGTAAGTGGGGTCACGTCTCCACAGATCTTACCTGTAACTTACCAGTTTGATGCCACATATGGCTCTTTGACTGACTCTGACCGGCCTGTTTAAGCTAATTTGGAATTACAAAATAAACATATTTTATCATTTTACCTCATGCATGGACTAAAACTGCATTGCTTTTATTTTAGAGGTGTTTTTTTTTTTTTTATGACATTTTTTGTAAGGCAAGCTCATTTTTTCATTGCTTAGTCATAACATAAACTCGTACCAGTCTTATTAGCTCATCAAAACAATGATATTTACAGCTTTTTATGAAGAAATACAGTTAATATCATGCAGAATTAAGTTAAGATTTTGGCCTGGACAGGTTGAATTAACACTAAGAAAAAGTTGAATAAACACTAAGAGAAGTTGAATGAGCACTAGTGGAAGTTAAATGAGCATTAGTGGAAGTTGAATTAACGTCAATCTGGCAAATAACCCCAGCTCGAACTCCAATTTAACTTTCAAATAGTTAAAATAACACTTTTTATGTTAAAAACAACTCTTTATGAAAAAATACAATTAATATCAAGCAGAATTAAGTTAAGATTTTGGCCTGGTCCTCCACAATATTTTTTGTTTCTCATGTGGCTCCATGGAAAAAAATATTTGCCCACTCCTGCATTAGAGATGAACAAATTTAATGCACATGACGGACCCTCTCACCAGAAAAGTTATATAGTACATCTTTAAAAGTTAGATTTCTGGTGGATATTTTGATATTGCCTGAAATAATCCATAATGAACTGGCATTAAACATTTCTTTTCTACATTTTTTCAGTAACTCTCATAGGAAGTGCCTGAATAATGCAATGTTAAGTCAGTGGTCGTCTTGAAATGTAACTGTATGTAAATGAGGTATTATTTATATTAGAAACAGACAATAGAAACAGCAGTAAATGACAGAATCGATACTGAGCAGTGACATCACGCTCGGGGGGGTTCTACATGTAAGTGTATTGGCGGAAAGTTCACCAGTTACCATGAAGAAGCAATGCACACATTAGCAAACGCAGCAAAATATGTGTTTTAGATCATAATGAAACTCCAGAAAAAAGAAAATTATACAATTTTCAACTTTTTGGAGCTTTCTACAAGGTCATAATGTTGTCCTCTCATCAAAAACCTGCCTGAAGTGGTTTTAAATGTCATCCAAAAACAAAAGTGAAACTAATTTAAAAATGTATTACATGGTTTTTGGCATGTTCAAAATGATAAAAGGCAACATGATGAACTCACTACATTATGTGTAAACAATTAATACCCCATAGAAGTGTAATACTCCCTCTTAAAGATGTACTCATCCAGCAGCTTGAGAACCAGTGAAGAAAAGTGAAGGAAAATACGTAATTACGCTGCACTAAGGCGGTGTATGAGAAGGCAATCAGAGTGAATGATGGAGATATGAAGACATTAAGGCTGTGTGAACCACAAGCCCAGGGAAACGTCCATCAGACCAATTAGACCAAATCACATCAGCAGAGAGTGCACCGTGAAGCCATAGACGAGGGGTAATAACAGGATCATATCAGGAGCCATGTGTGAATGCGCCAGAAGACACAGAGGTAAAAGCATGGGTTGTTATGGAGTTTGTTTTATAATATTTTATAATGGGGGATTGTGGAGCTAGCCAGACTGGCGCCACCTAGTGTCTCTGCTCAATTTCATTTCTCTCCAGTGACTAGGAATCTGATACACTAGACGGTTTGTAAGAACCCCGGAAGTCGTAGACCGCACACCAGCCAATCAGTGAAGAGCTGAACCAACCCAAGTTGTGATATCAGACTGCATACACTATCCTCCTTTGGACTTCCTTTGTCAAACACAAACTTTGCATTTTTATTGCACCTTTAATTTGCAAACTCATCTTGCAGAAAAGACAACGATCGTTGACAGACATGTTCACTCTCTGCTTTGTTTGTTGTTGTGCTGGCAATTACTTGGACACCACTGAGCGTTCCAGTGCATTACATACATCATGACCAAATAGCAGCAATTAGTTAAATAAAAGCGAGTTGAGCGAACAAATCCTAATGCTGCGAGGTCAGACGGTTTCCACGAAGTGAAACTGGATGATGAATCAGGCTAGTGTGGAGCTACAGTAGAGAGGAATACTTGTTTATCTTGTTGTTGTTGTTTTTTTTATATTGATACTTTGCAGCTGATACCATCAACATTTCCTGGAGGTGTGAGACCACGGCTCTGTTACTAGAAGCTCCGTTACTCATGTTAGACTTTAATCTGAGCTTTGATTTAACACAATCTCACCAGAAAAAGATCATTTAGATTGGACAGGTGAGATCATTTTTGCTAGTAAACAAGTCTCACACAAAACATTACAGTCACAGGTGAACTCGCACAGTTTTTCAGTTATACACTCTCATCTTTTTGTTGAAAAAACTCCCAAACAGGACCACGAATGCTCGTATTGATCACAGGCTCCTGAAAATGTGTTAAATCAATTTTGTATTTTTCATTTTTCAGTATTTTTTGTCTGTCTTGTGCATTGTGTCACCACGGTACCTGCTGAACATTCCACCAACAGAGATACAAGTACAACACCTGAGGCATGATCTCACTGCAAAGTATCAAAAGGACTCAGGAATAGGGGTGGGGGCAATATTACTTTGCTCATTGTTTAGAATTTAGTTTTAGAATTTTTCTTAGGCTACGTTTATATGATGATGGTCTGAAGAGAAGATGCAAAAGTGGCGTTGTGTCTTCACTTATTATTCTGCGTTTAGACGAGCGTTTTCAGGAGGAAATCTGCATGCATACGATGGTGCAAAAGTCTGTGGAATTCGATTGGGTATGCATTCCAGGATTCTGTGTACTGTATGTATGTAAACGCGTATGCTACCTTCAGATTTTTGTGTTTTTGAGCCCCAAAAATGCTGTCACCGTCTAAATGAAAGGCACTTCAGATAAAATATATTGTCGCTTTTACCCCCAAGCGTTCTCATGTAAACAGGCCCTTATTAAAACAAATAATGATAAGTTCCATGGACAATACAGCCCTACAAAGACAAAAGAGCTTAACTGGCCCGAGCGGGAAACTGAGAAAATTTGACTTCAAAGTATAATAGGCAGGGCTCCCAAAATTTAACAGCTAGTTGCTATAATGAAGAAATATTTGTATGAAATAAATACTGAGCTCAAAATGGACCTTTGACCCTTATTTGTCAGTTCCTGTACTCTGCCTTTGTATCATGAGCCAAAAATAAGGAGTTGTGCAAAGACAAAATTGCTTGATTTTCCCCAGACTTCCATCTATTATAAGAAAAACACCAAGGTCGAGTCATCACGGAGTTTGTTTGAAATGATACGGAAGAGCTTTGGATTTCCCGTTTTGTGCTGATCAGGATTGTGCTTCGACACTTACGCGGTTAAACAGTTTGACAGACGAGTGACTTTGGAGTATAATATGTACAGTATGAATAAATACACAAAATGATTTAATAAATTAAGAGCCTGTGCCAAGATCGCAACAAAAAGAACGAGGCGAGAGGTTGGATTTAAAAAGGAAATATATTTATGAACTAAATCAAAAACAAAACATACACAGTTTCTGACTTTTGTCTTCGCACAACTCCTTATTTTTGGCTCATGATACAAAGACAGAGTACAGGAACTGACAAATAATATTACCATACAACATTTTTTACAATATTTATTCACATGATAAAGGAGCTCTCAAATACAAACAAAATGACATGAACTCATTTTTGACCAAACATGACGTTATGGAGTTCTGCCTTTGTAGGACAGAAGATTTTTACCTTTTTTTTTTACCATGGGGAAAACCTGTGAAGACTAGAATGTTCCACAGTATGGCATTAAACATGTAAAGCCCCAAGCTGATGATTCGACAAATGGAAACAATTTAATCACAAATTCAATTAAGCAAACAGCCCTGTCCGTGCATGAAATATGCTGTGGTATTATGAGTCGAGTGGAGGGGTCTGATATTCACTTGGGGCCATAACATATGCTATAACTGACCTGTATAATTAGCTCTACTTAATTACTAGTTTGGCCTGATAGCAATTAGCAGAGTCAAGCAAAACACACAATGGTTAATTGTCTCCCACGAGAACATGCTAATGGCCAGTCATTTTATCTAAAATTAGTGTGTACTGTGTGTAATATAAAAGCGCTTCAAGAGGGGGTATTATGCAAACTTGATTATTTTAGCTTTCTTGTATTTGATTTTTAAATAAAAGGTAACATTATGATCTAAATATGTTTTGTGTTAGCAGTTAATACCACATAGAAGTAAAAAAAAAATAATAAATAAGTATTTGTCCCTGTCTGTAATAGGTTACTACAACAACACCAACAAAACTATAAACTACTACTTCTTCTTTACTACTATTACTACTACTACTGCTACTTCAAAAAAAAAAAAACATTTTAGCTTACATTTTCTTTTCAGTCTTTTTTTCTTATCTTCATTTCACCAGCTTGAATTCTATGTCATCTTAGAGTGATAATAAAAGTAGAAATTGGACTAAACCAGGACTTAATGAGGGGGTATTATGCAAAACTGATTTTTTGGTGCTTTGTATCATGTTATAACGTTCCCTCATCATCATCATCGAAAACATGCCTGAAGCGGTTTCAGATATCATGCATGTTTGAGTAGTTTAGTGATCTCTCCTGGGCCCTATTGGAACTCTCTTTG